TGGGTTGTATTTTCCAAGGTTTTCCCAGGCGCCATGGCGCCACCTGCATAGAGGAGTGAATGTGTAAATCTAAGGTTCAAAGAGTGAGAAGGAATGTCTTGGGGACCTCCTAATCAGGAAGGAATTGGAGAGCCATACCTCTTAATCATTGAGCCCTTTTGGGTAAAAGCCTGGGCAGAGGTCAAACTCTGCCCTGGATCTTAAACCCTTATCAGACTCTTAAGATCCGCCCTCAACAAGCTCCTCCCTTTACGTTCCTAGCACTGTGATCCTTGATTTAATTAAGGTAACAATACAGGAGATAATAACACTGCCCAAGAAAATACATGAAGTAACAAGGCAGGTAAATCCTTAAATATATTGATCGCACTTAATTTCTCTAAGAGCTCTACAGCCAGATTTTTTGGGTTGGCCCCCGGGGAATGACTGTCTGCAATCTCCTGGATGGCATTTAGAATTGTGCCAGGCCCCCAACAGGGAGGCACTTGTCTTATCTCATGAGATATTAGGATCTAAAGCATCACAGGGTAGCAGGATAATGTAAATAAATGAATATCTGTAATCACATTGCAATAGCAACCTTGTTTTCAAGGGTTCTGACTTATCTGCTCAATACAATACTGATTGTTCTAATAAACTGACTTCATACAATGTATCAATAGCTTCTTCTGCATTAGGTACTAAACATATTTTTTGCCAAGTCATATACAAATTATGCAATTTAGATTTCAGATTGTAGTATAATAGATGAAACAGCAGTAGATACAATAAAAGAAGCAACAATGATTAAACCAATAATAAGGAGACACATAAATTGTTTTGATTGACTTAAGGAGGAAGAAATAATTTGAAGAACATGTTCACCAGAATTCTGAAACTATTCATGTAAAACACTGGTAGGGAAAATAGCAAATGATAATTCCCAAAAATACAATATAGTCATTATTATCAATATATTGTTTGAGAGCACAATTGATACAAGTAACATGCTATTCAAAAGTAGTATTAGATTGAATAAAAGTTACATATCCAATAGACACACTGGTATTAACAAATGATGTAACAAGGAAAAAACAGGATTCAATATTGTTGCTAAATTTTAAAAAACATATAGGTGTCCTGGATGCTAGAGATCTGAGGGTAACTGTAACATTGACTTTGTCCTGGAGATAGGGATCTTCTTGTCTTCTGAATATACAGGTGTTATTAGTATATATGCAGTCCCAATTTGTCCAAATATGTGAGGGTTTGCATCCAGGGTGGAAAAGGAAAAATAAGTCCAGTGCTGAACAGTCTGTACATTACACACTTGAGCAGAAAGTAAAGCTACTATTACTAAAAGTACAAGTTCAGGAGTCTTTTATCACTCGATGAGAGGGAGCTTTCACTGGACCCCATGTGGGAAGGCAACTGTCACTGTAGATTGGCTCCTTCTGCGCTTTCCCAGAATCCTCATACATTGCATTCAAGCTGTGAGTTGTTATACATGCTCTGACATCTTTCTCCGGTATCCGGACAGGTTTATCAAAGTTTTCTGAAAAATTATAAGCACACCCTCATCCCCTCTTTAGTAATGGATCCAGTAATGGATGTGGGCCTCTGGATGTTTTTAGGCTGGAGTGTATTCAACTTTGTTCATATTTAGAAAATTAATAGCCAATTATAAAAATTAATAGCCAATTGTCAAAAATTAATAACCAATTATCAATGAGGGGTAATAGCCCAGATTCCCCCTTTTTTGTTTAAAAAGAATAATTTTAATATCTTTGTTTTTAATTATATAAAATGTTTGTGATCAGAGAAATGTTATAAAAAGCATAAAAGATAGAAAATGTTTTGCTAATGGAAGCTCCTCAGGAGCATTATCTGTTTTGATTCGTTTAAGTACACTCATAACTGTGAAGGCTTGTAAAATATGATTGATCACATATTTAATTGTACCACTTGTTTGTAAAGTGGCAAAAATGAAAGAAAAAAGTATCCATTATAACATGAATATAAGAAAGCTTTTCAAAAGAAGGCATATAGGTTACATCCAATTGTCAAATATGTTTGGGAGAAAAGCCTCTTGATACATTTGAAACAGGCTGTTAATTAAAAAATAATCATTATTCTTTATACTATGTTTCTAATACTGTAGGAGTTTATTTATTCAAAAATAGTCACAAAATGTTTTCTTCTCTACAGTTAAGGTTGTTGTATTGGCAGAATATAGTTAATAAAAGGCTCAATAAAAGCTTAATAAAAGTTAAGTGGCAGCACTGTAGTTAAGAATCAATAATGCCATTGCTTTCAGTATATAATTGTGTATTAGTAATATATTTTAACTTTGCAGTCTCTATATTTTGAGAGACATAAACAACATTAATAAGCTCATAATATCCTGCTATACCTGTACTTAACCCATTGGGGAATGTCATGGGTGCTGAAGGAATGGGGTTAATTCTATCAATCTTTTTGAAATACCTATGAATAATTAGTAAAAAAAGGTTAATATCTTAAGAAATGGTAGTAATTATCAATATCAATACGACCAGAAAAAATAGTAATAGCAATTTGCCAATCCTCTAAAGAGGAAACAAGAGTGTCTATTTGCTTTTTTTATAAGGTTGATTAATAACAGAAAGTAAATTTCCTGTAAGTTAAAAATTGTAGGGGACACTGGAGTACCAAGAATAGCACCTGGTACCTCTTCATTTAAAAAAATATGGGTGCGTTGAGCTTCAGGAATTTTTCTGTTTGACTAAATAAAGCTCCTTTTTTGCCTAAGGAATTAATGTCCTAGGGGAATTTAAGATTAGGATCTTCTCTAAATGTAAAAAAGAAATTAGCCAATTGTTCTGTAGTAATTTGGAATGATGGTCAAAACTAATTAGTATCCTCTAAAAATTCATCAAGTGCTTCACTGTTGTTTCGGTGGCAATATGACCTAGGTAGGAAAATGGAGATTTTTCTTAAACTTTTTCTGGGGCTATAATAAGCCCATATTCTTGTAAAGCTAATTGAGGCTGAGGAAATAAATGTGTGAGTTTTCAGTGGAACAACTACAAAGTATGTCACTATATAGTGTAGTATGTTTGCATTGAGAAATTTTTTCCTAATTGGTTGTATAGCTTTATTAACAAAATTTTGACACATTGTAGGGCTGTTTTTCATGCCTTGAGGAAGGACTTTCTATTGAAACCTGGTTGCAGGGTGTTCTGCATTAACACTGGGTATTGTAAAAGCAAAGCAACATTTGTCAGCTTCTTGGAGTGGAATAGTAAAAAAAGAAGTCTTTTAAATCAATAACTTTCAAAGGCTAGGAAACAGAATTCATAATGGGTGAAGGGAGACTTCATTATTAGCTCAGAGGTCATGAAGCATCTTCTATTTCGCTGACTGCATTTTAATAACAAAAACAGGTGAATTCCAAGGATTTGTAAAGAATTCTATATGTCCTTTTAAAAGTATTGTTCAACTAATTGCTTTACTGTAAAAAGCTTCCTTTTTGTCAAAAGCCACTGTTCCACCCAAACAAAATAACAGCTCCCCTTAGATGTAAAATATTGTGCCCCCACAAATTAAAGGGAATTAATTGAGTAAATTCATCTTAAAATAATTGATTAGTGGTGATCTACTAGGCAGGCTAAAGCTAATTAATATCTTTAAGAGTTTTTAAAGAATCTTTCCTATTTTTTAATATTTTGGGGGTCTAATGGGCTGTGAAACAATATGTCCAAAGTAAGCAAAGGGTGATTTCTTTTGTGCCTTATCAGAAGTAATTATAAATCTTTGAGACCGAAGAGCTTGTTAAAGCTCACACATTAATAAGGAAAGTTCGCCAGTAATAGAATAACTGCAAAATTTATCATCCAAATAATATATTATTTTTGTCTGGGAATATTTCTGCCTAACAAGTTTAAAAGTGGTATGAACAAAATTTTTGCACATGGTAGAAAACATTCCTTCTTAAAGGAACATAATAGGAAAACTTCAAATACTGATTTAATGGAGACGACTATACCGAAATTCAAACTCAAAACAAAATTAGTTATAGTCCTAAGAGTGTTTTACCTAACAGCAAGTTTCACTAATTGGCTTAAAGCCAGATACAGTTAATTTTACTCCCATGGAGTTGTAATAAGTAACAAAGATTTACCATGAGTCACATAATAGATTTCACTTAACATCTTTCTTTCTCAAATTTAAACTTGTTCTGGTAAAAAGCCAATTATTAGGAATCATTTCATATAGTTGCAGCTTCTCAGCAAGCTAAATTAATTGTTTAGGAACTGCATAATCCTAACAAGTTCTCTCTCTCATTCAGGGTAGATGACCTTGCTCACAACAGATAGTTTCCAGGAGCTCTGGCAAATTTACAAAGTAGAGAGAATTGCCTTGTGCCCCTCCTTTTCACTCATAAGTAATTAAAAATTCTAGGTGTTAACATTAAAACAGTAACTTCAAATAACTTAATTAACAATCTGGTAATTTTCATAAGTGATAGTCAAATTGTTTTAACTATAAGCTGTTCTTTAATTACAGGTAAAGATGGAAATACCTGACTTTCTAATTGACAGTTATAAAACATTATGAGACAAAATTAACTGGACTTGATAAAATAATTTAGCTATTTTTTTTACACAGCTTTCCCACTGTCTTTCAGTCTTTTTTAATTCACATTTTAAATAACATGTAAATTGTTAAAAATTGTTTGACATAGCACAAAACAATACAAAAGTTTACCAATTTGTAATGATACTAGATTTTTTAAAATTTGAAACAAGCATATTACTAATTTGAATGAGCTAAATTGTCTTTTGATTGCATTCCAAATACATAAAAAACTTTGCTTTATGAACTGAGGGGGTGCACCCTCCTTTTCACTATTCTCATTCTGTCTCTCACACCCCAACTTGGCCAGGGTTGGAATGGAGAGAAAGGAAGAGAATATTTTCCAACAACTTATCTTTGATAATCTTTCAATTTTACATCCAAAAGCTTTGGCCAGAGCTTTAGAATGCAAAAAAAAAAAAAGAGAGAGAGAGAATTTCTTCCTAATAACTCTTCAAAAGTTTTCAAATCATTTATTCTCAAAAAAAAGAGAATTTCTTCCTAATAACTCTTCAAAAGTTTTCAAATCATTTATTCTCAAATCTTCCATTCATGCTATTAATGCAGACAGATTATGCTATTCTTTCTACCCCTACTTCTCTCATTATTGCATGCTTAAACTTTCTTCTCTTTTATCAATCATATGATGTAAATAATAAAATATTTTTCCTCTCCATCTCACCCCCATCCACCCGCTCCCGGGAGGCGGCTGGTAGTAGGGAGGGGGAAGGAGAGAAAGCTAGCTAGCCGCAAAAGGTTTCAGATTACACACATACACACAGACACTCACATAGAACAGATAACATAATGACAGGAAGACTAGTCAGAAATCCCCTACACAAATCAGACAACTCCTTTGGAGAATGAGCTTCCTCCAGTTCTGTTGTTTAAGAGAAAGGGAATACACCTTTCCCCTCATCCTCTTCTGCAACTGGAGAAGGCAATCCTGGTTGTAAAGCTCCCATAGTTTCCATACAGGCATTAACTTGTCTGAGATCTGTTAACATTCTCCATTTACCTGATTTTTTCTTAATAGCAAATATATGAGAAGTCCATGGACTAGTGGAAAATTCTATATGACCTGCTGCTAATTGTCCAGTTATTATATCTTGAAGAACCCTGATTTTTTCTAAATTAAGGGGTCACTGATCCACCCAAATGGGAGGCCCTTCTTTCCATGTGATCTTTGGTACTTGTACGATTCTTTTCTCTTTGGCCATGACCCCTACTAAAAATTTTTGCTATTTATTGTAACATTCATGTTTTTCAACAAATCCCTTCCCCAAAGCCAACATGGAATATGTGGTAGTACATATGGTCTAAATCTTCCTCAATGTCCTTCTACTTTCCACATAAGCCACACCGCAGTTTGTGCAAAAGCAGCTATTTCTCCTATTCCCTGTAACATCACATTCCCTTCATCTAGTGGCCATTCCCTAGGCCAGACCCATAAACTGATAACTGACTTATCAGCTCCTGTGTCTATTAGCCCTTCAAATTCTTTTCCTTGTACTTCTATTTTTAAGCTTGGTCGAGGGTCTGTGATAGTTCTATGCCAAAACAGTCCTGTACTACCAAATCCTTCTGTCCCCCTTATTTCTTCTGTTGTTTTTCCCAGTTTTTTATAGTCCATTACAATCATTCGTGCTTGCCTCTCCCCATTTTGAATGAAAAAACGACAACAGGGAAAAGCATATACCATAACCTCAATTTATCCAGTGTAATCAGAATCCACCACTCCAGGGATGACCGTGAGTCCCCAAAGTGTCTGGGAACTACGACCTAGCATAAGACCCACCATCTCCAGGGGTAATGGGCCACGTACTCCAGTGGGAATGCAGACCACTTCACCCCCGATGTCCTTATCAAGACTGGAACTGAAATCTAGTCCAGCACTACCCGGGGTGGCATGAATAAGGTCTGTTATTATGAGTCTTGTGGGCGTGGAGCAGGGACTGGGAGTAGTAATGAAAGAACTGGCCCTATTGTTTGATGGGGCCGGAGCAAGCCTCACCGGGGGTTTAAAGGCTGCCCATTAACATCTGTAGTAGATCTGCACTGTGATGCCCAACGATTTCCCCTTTGACACCTAGGACAAGGAGTAGTGGCGGGCTGTGATGATGCCTTTCAAGGGGTCCTACATTCCTTCTTCATATGGCCAGGCTTCCTGCAATTAAAGCATTTTAACATTCACAGACCCTTCTGATTTTTATGAAAGGCAGCCGCTACCATTTCTGCTTGAGCCGCTGCCATTACTTGTGCCTGAAAATGTGTGGTCCCTACATCCTGACATCTCTGAATCATTTCTGTAATAGTCATATTAGGCTTGCCACCTCGTAAGGCTTTTCTACAATCGGCATTAGCATTTTCACGGGCCAATTTTTGAAGGAGTATTTGGGCTGCTTGTGAATCAGAGACACTCCTTTGTATGGCTTGCGTAAGTCGGGCTAGAAAATCTGGGAAAGTTTCTTGGGGACCTTGCTTTATTTGAGTGAACGAGGCTCCCCTACCCTGTTTCCCAGGAACCTTTAACCATGCCGCCTGTGCAGCCTTCATAATTTGTTCATATGCTATGAGTGGATAATCTAGCTGTTGCTGCAGTTCAGTAAACATTCCTGTTCCTGTGAGCTGCTCCACAGAAACAGGGATCATTGTTCTTGTATTGTATCTCGCCTGCTCTTGGGATTGCTCAAAAAATTCTGATTTCCATACTAGATAATCTCCTGGTTCCAGACATGTGTTTGCCAGTGAATACCAGTCATGTGGAGCCATGGCTATATTAGCTATTGAATCTAATAATGTTTGAACATACGGACTATTTGGCCCATATTCTACTGATGACTGTTTTAACTCTTTTAATAATTTTAATTCAAAATTCCCATGTTCCCTAATCATCTGTTCTGGATTATTTGGGTCCTCTTCTTCATATAATGGGAACTTCATGCCTTTTGGAATAGCTAATTTTAATTCCATAGGCACTTCTTCCCCTCTGTTTTCTGCCTTTTCTATCGCTTCTTCTAACAACCCTTTGCATCATAACTTTTTCCCAAGCTGCTGTTTAACAGAAGGGGAATACACATCTTTCTGTTGTTTAACAAAAGGGGAATACACATCTTTCACCTCATCGTCCTTATAGGAACCTGATCTATAAGAGGGAGGTGGTCTTGATGGGGCTGACGGTATTATAGAATCTTGACAAGGAATGTCTTCCTTGTCCTCCTCAACAATTGTCAACTGTTCCTCAAAGACCTTATTCATTTCTTCTTCCTCATCTGTTCCTACCCCTATATCTACCCGAATCACTTTCGTAGCTAATGGATTTCTCCGGGGGCATAAGACATATTTTTAACACATTCCAAATTGAAAAGGTAGCAATCGAGAATGCACCAGGACCCACTTCTCTGTAATATTCACTCATTTGCTTGCCTATAATGTCCCATTTCTCTAAATCTACTGTTCCTTCTTGCAGAAACCATGGGCAACATTTCTCTACACATTCTAAGAATTCCTGTAGCTGACTGTTTGTAATAAGTATACCTCTCTCCCTTACCATTTTCTTTAACAATCTTAAATAATAATCTCAATCTTTTTTCCCACTTTGTACTTGACCCATACTTTTTGGTCCAGATCGCGCTTCTCAAAACTGAAAGTATGTGCACACAGTCGTTCCAAAGTGAGAAAACTGTCTTCCTATTTCTGCTTTCCATATAACCCACTTAGCCTGGTGTTCCCTTTAGCCCTAATACTGCTAAAGGATTGTTCTTTATAGCATCATTGCTCTCTTACCTTGTTCCTACAGCACTGAGCCGCCAAGGTTTTTCTTTTTCTTCTCCAGAGCACCAAGAGAGCTGCTCTCCTCGTATCGTCTTTCAGGTCCCTGTTCAGGCGCCACTTGCAGCCTGCTCCAAGTGAGGCACCTAACGGGAGAGCGCATAATGAGGAAACGTGGGCCAGGCGGGTCAGTAAGGGCTGAGCTGTTTATTCATTTGAGGGTTACAGTACATATAGAGAAACCTAACATAGCTTCAAAGAGTCACTCCTGCGAGACACTCCCCATACATATTCTGTATACGTGACATTACAATATGTTTCCTTGTTATCAGGGTTCATAGATTGGGCAGTATATTCCAAGACCTTCCCTGCACCACCTTAACAGAAGAATGGTATATAAATCTAAGGGTTCAAAGAGCAGGAAGGAACGTTCCAAGAGCCTCCCTTGCATGGGAGATTGGTGAGCCAACTTCTTAAGAATGTGAGCCCTAGGGGTCAAGACTAGGCAAGAGTCAAACCCTGTCCTGGATCTTCAACCCAGATCAGACTCTTTAGGGCTGGCCCTCAACACACATCCAGATTAACACTCAGTCTCCAGACGGGAACTTATGTACCAAGAATCCAAGAGGAGGGGTCTGAGCCACCAGGCCTTTCTTCTGCAAAATATGAAGATGCCTTGCCAGACTCTGTACATATTCTCAAAGGAATCAATCTTTACACTCAAGGATTGGATCCCAACTCTGGCCATTTCCCACCCCTGTGTAAGGGTGGCCATATAGAAATTCATAAGGTGACAAGCCAATATCCCTACAGGGTTTGGTTCTAATCCTAATTAAGGCTAAAAGCAAACATTTAGTCCAAGGCAATTGAGTCTCTAAAGTCAATTTTGTAAGTTGCCTTTTGATTTCCTGACTCATTCTTTCCACCTTGCTGGAGGAAGAAGGATGCCAGGGAGTGTGGAACTCCCAGGAAATTTCTAAGGCCTGCATAAGAAATTTGAGAACTTTGGCAGTAAAGTGTGTCCCCTGGTCCAAGTCAATTCTTTCCACCATCCCACATCTAGAAATGATCTGTTCCAATGAGACTCTAGCAACTGCGACAGGGGAAAAGTGGCCTGCGACAGGGGAAAAGCCTCCACCCATGAGGTTAAGTGGTCCGCTATGACCAGCAAGTATTTGAGGCGGCCAACAGGAGGCAACTCGGTGAAGTCCACTTGCATGTTTTGGAAAGGTCTTATGCCAGGTGGTCTGCCTCCCTTCAGCACTTGGCATTGAGCTGACCTGTTTGTTCTTCGACAAACAAGGTAGCCGTCCACCAACTGTCGAGCTAGGGTATATAAACCGGGAGATACAAACCGAGCCAAGACCGCATCACACAGGTTCTGGACATCCCAATGACTGCCTTGATGTAAATGCTGTAATGCCTGCCTCATACCTGCTTTAGTCAGTACCTCTCGACCATTGGGTACAAACCATTGTCCCTGTTTGTCTTCCTGCACTCCAAGTCTTTGAGCTTTCTGAGAGAAGTATGGGGAAGGAAGACTGGGAGGAAAAGAAGGGATCAGGACCAACATTGGGTCACCTTGCTTAAGTTCTCCTTCCCCTTCCCTCCTGGCCTCCTCATCAGCAGGCAGTTTCCCCTGGCCTCAAAAGACATTCCCGGTTGATGTCCCTTCATACGAATGACTTCAGGTAATAGTAAATTCTCCAAAACTTGGGTCACCAATGTTGTATGGATGAGTTCTTTCCCTTTGCTGTTTATCATTCCTCTTTCTTCCCAAATTTTACCAAACACATGTACCACACCCCATGCATATTTAGAGTCCATATATACATTCCCTTCCTGACCTTCCAACAACTTCAAGGCCTGATTTAAGGCATAGAGTTCACAAGTTTGAGCTGACCAGGTCTTGGGCAAACTCCCTGCCTCAACCAGGGAATTCTTATCTCCATCCACAACAGCAGACCCATTCTGTCTCTTCTCCTCAACGACCCTGGAGGAACCATCTATGAACAGATTTATTCCCAGGGATGGGAGACTCTTGAAGATCTTCCCTTACTTTAGTCCGGTATTCTATTAAGTCCAAACAACAATGTTCAATATCACCATGTGTCTCAGGACTAGCAGTTAAAAAGGAGGCTGGATTTATATTATGATCCTGGGCTAATACCAAATCATCTCTCTCTAAAAGTATGGCCTCATATTTTAACATTCTTGAGTCAGTCAGCCATCTGCCCGCCTTCTGGCTGAGGATAGTTCTCACCTGGTGTAGAACACTCACTATCAAACTTCCCCCAAAGGTGAGCTTTCTACTCTTGTCAACCAAAATGGCGGTAGCAGTCACGGCTTGAATGCAAACAGGCCATCCTCTGGCCACTGAATCTAAAATTTTAGACAGGAAAGCTACAGCTCATCTTTGCCCTGCTCTTATTTGCGCCAGGACTCTAAGGGCTGCCCCTTTTTCCACATTTACAAAAAGATAAAATGGTTTTTCCAAAGATGGTAAGGCTAATACAGGGGTAGAGATCAAGATTCTTTTCAATCGTTCAAAGTTTTGACTACTCTCTTCATTCCAATCTATGGGATCCGGTCCCTCATTCAATAAATGGTGATATAAAGTCTTACTGAGAGCCGCATTGGAATCGATCCAGTTTCTACAATACCCTACCAATCCAAGAAACTTGCAGACTTCCCTCTTACTCTTAGGTCTGAGAGTTTGAATAATTCCTTCCACCCTGGCCGGGTCTAATTTCTTACTACCCTTTACTAAATAAATGTCCCAAATATTTAGCTTCCTTTTCCACAAACTGTAATTTTTCTTTAGATATCCAGAGTCCCTGTTCCTCCAAGAAATTTAGCTACTTGACTGTGGTTTCACTAGCCTTTTCCCTCCTGTCCCCCGTTATCAAGAGGTCATCCACATACTGGATGATTTGAGTCCCAAGGGTTGGCTTAAACCCTTCTAAAATACCCTCAAGCACTTGCCCAAACAGGTTAGAGGACTCAGTGTAACCTTGAGGTAGTACACACCAGCGATATTGTTGTTTCCTCCCTGTCTCAGGATCTTCCCATTCAAAGGCAAAAATGTTTCTACTCTCCAAATCCAGGGGACAACTCCAAAAGTTATCTTTTAGATCTATTACATTTACTAGACCTGGGAATCTTCCCCCTTATAGTGTAGGGATCGGGTAGCACAGGGTGGGAGGAGAGTACTACCTTGTTAATTTCTCTCAGATCCTGCACTAATCTATAAGACCCATCTTTCTTCTTCACCGGAAGCACTGGAGTGTTAAAGAGACAAATACATGGTTCCAAAAGCCCCACTTTGAGTAAACCCTTTATAACTGGCTGGAGTCCTCTTCTTCCTTCCAATGGAATGGGATACTGCCTAACTCTGACCACCATGGTGGGACCATTTAATGTTATTCTTATAGGGGTGATATTAACTCTCCCAGAGTTATCAGGACCAGCCCACACTTTGGGATTAATTTTTGCTTTCTCTTCCTCCCTCATTAGGGCTACCTGCAAAGGTATTATGCAAGGACCCCTAGGGACTAAATAAATTGAAAATTTCATAATTAAATCTCTCCCTAGTAAATTGACTCCTGCTTCAGGAACTAGAAGCAACTGTCCCAATGCAGTAGCACCCTGATAATCCAATTGTAAAACCTCAGTGAGGAGAACTGAAAAGGTTTCTCCCTTCACTCCTGATATCATTAAACTTTTGTTGGATAACTTGGAGCCAATAGGTAGCTGGGTCACTGATGATCTGGTAGCTCCAGTATCTATTAAAAATATAAATTTTTCCTTATGCAGTCCCACCCTCACATTTATCAAGGGCTCTGGGTGAGTCAGCTCAATGAACCCCTGACACCCCTAACCTTCCAATTCCATGAAAGAGTACACCCTCTGCTCCCAATGAGCTTGAGAGCAGTCTCTCAGAATATGCCCCTCCTTCCTGCAGTGCCAGCATATGAGGGGCTGTCTGGATGCTCTGGGATTCCCCCAGTCTTTCTTCTGATCAGGAGCCCTAGGGCTCATGGCCCTTTCAGATCTGGACTGGCCAGGTCCCCAAGGCCCACTCTTCCAACCAGGACCTTTCTTTTCCTGTTTTTCTCTTCTTTCTATAGATTTAGCAACAGTTTGCACTGTCTGCTATAGAATCTTATCTCCTTTCTGTTGCTCCATAGATTGTAACATCAACTTAGAATTTTTCCTTCTTTCTTCCTTTTCCTCATTCTCTCTGCTAACAGACTTTTTGAGCCATTTCCAATAATCCATCTAATGCTCTAGTCTGCCATCCTTGTTGCTGCAATTTCTTATTAATATCAGGCCAGGAATTAGTAACAAAATATATTCAGAGGAGACTCTGAGCAGTAGGGTCCTCCTCCGTCAGCCCAGAATATTTTCTCGTGTTTTCTCTTAGTCTATTCAGGAAGGCAGAGGGAGTCTCATCTTTTTCTTGTTTTATACCTGATACTTTATTCATATTTTTACTGCGGGGAACTGCGTTCCCTATACCCTGGATTATTAGGTGTCTCAAAACTTTCATATTTTCTCGGTGGGCTGCATTATTATGGTCCTAATTAGGATCTTGCAAAGGAAATTTCTGTTCTCTACAAGGTCCCCCTTGGGTAAGTGGATGTGTATCATCCCATGCCCGCATAGCAGCTCTCCTAATCTGTCCTTGTCCTTCCCCTGTAAATAGGATCCCTAGAATAGACATCAGCACTGGCCAAGCGTATACATTAGGACCGAGGAACTGATCAACTTGTTCAGACAACCCTACAAGATCTTCTATCAGTGGTTTCATTTCCTTCTTAAAGTTTCTTACCTCTGTGGTGCTAAGGGGTGCATTCACAAAGCCCAGTTCCCCTTGGGCAAGAGGAACCTTTGGGGGAAACAAACCCTCCTGTGATGACCTGGGAGGGAGAGGGAAATTCTCTTGGTCCTTAAGAAGCTGTTTAAGTTCTCTTTTAAGAGGACCATGAGGCGAGCTCCCTTCATCCAAGTTTATCAGGTCCTCCCCAACGCTTCCCGAGTTGGGGGCCCATGGCAGAGGCACAAGTGGAGTCAGGGCCTGCAGCAGGCAGGGCGGAGCATATGGAGGAGGGAGAGCAAGGAGGGGATCCCATGGATGGGGAAGCTGCTTAGATGCATCCTCCTTCTTCCCTCTTTTCTCTCCTACCACCCTCTGCTGCACCCCAGACAGCCAGAGAGCAGCATATGAACTCTCCTCCGCACTAAAGGGCTCCCTAGAGTTTACATAGAGATTCAACTTTTGGTTTTCAACATTCACTTCCACAAGTTTTTGAGTTCCAAATTTTTGTCCCATCTCCCCCCTCCCTCCACCCCAAGATGGCTACACTCTGAATATCCCTTCCCCTAGTCTGTCCTCTCTTCTATCTCCCCCCCTTCTCTTATCCCCTTCCCCTTCTATTTTCCTGTAGGGCAGGATAGACTTCTATACCTCATCAGAGAGTCAACTTTTGGCATACCCAATCTTCCGAACTTTGGCCAGAAGACGTTTCCTCCGACTGACACATCCCACCCCATACTCATTTTCTTTTTATCCTTCCCCTTATATTTTGGCAGTTCATCCCAATTTTGGAGTCTGAAATCTTCCAAAATATCAAATGGCAGCTGCTACTTTAGACTGTCCTTTGCCCATGATTCCCTTACCTATAGGCAACACACAAATGAATTTGCTCAGGAGAGGGCTCCCCTTCCCTCCAAGGGGACCTACTAACTTTTTTGGTTTTTTGTGGCAATTGGGGTTAAGTAACTTGCCTAGGGTCACAGAGCTAAGTAAGTGTCACGTTTGGTCTGAGGCCGATTTTGAACTCAGGTCCTCCTGACTTAAGGGCCGGTGCTCTATCCACTGCCGCCACCTAGCTGCCTCCTCGAAAAGCTCCTCCGGGCTGAACCAACTTACGTGACTGATCCGATGCCCCTGCACCTTAATCGCTGCTGCCCGCGGACTTCACAAAATATCTTGTTGCTGCCATTCTTTCACATTTGCTTCCCCGAGTTTCTCTCTTCCAGACTTTACCCAGCCGGAGGGAAGGCTCCCTATGTCTGGCCTGAGGGCTGCTGGAGAAATCTCTCCGATGGCACGTGGAGTCTCGCTCACGAGTGGGCGGGTCTCCGTGGAATCTCCAAAGCGACCCTAACTCAAACTCAGAGACTTCTCCAGGTGGAAGCAAAAGTTACTCTTTATTACAATCTGCCGAGAAGGGGGGCTGCTCCTCCGATATACCACCCGCAGGTCAGAGGCCACACACAGAAAGCAAAATGAGATTACATACCCTAAGGCAGACGAACCTCCACCCACCACTCTCCCTTATTCCCATTGGCCGGAAGGCGGGCTTACATTCTAGCGCGCAAAAATCTTGGGGAAGACAAAGAACAAGGAGACAGTCTGTAGCCAATCCTAGCCGGGAGGCGGGCTTACATTCTAGGCGCAAAAATCTTCGGGAAGACAAAGAACAAAGAGACAGGCTATAGCCCATCCGAACATACATGTGCTTTTTTAGCAAACTTAATGCTGAAGTGGCAGTGGTAGGGCAATCCAGGGAGGGTTTAGGGCCAAATTCCCATGAGTTAGGTAATTCCTAGGAAACCGAAACTTAGGCTTGTTCGGTCTTTCAGAGCCCGTCTCTCTTAATCACCACCCTGAGAAGTCTTCACAGAGGCTACATCTCACTCAAAGGGGAGGAAAGACTGTTTCCAGTATATTAGGGAAATCAGTGCTGACTTCATGGATGGCTATGATAGCATTTCATATTCAATAGGTGATGATGGGAAGTGTTCATTCCAAGCTTTTGGAAAAAGGCAACAGGCAAATATTAAGTTTGTAGCAACTTTAGATTATGGGGACTAGAGTGGTTTGAAAGAGGAAGGAATGGGAGAGCGATCTTACATTAAGCTAAGGAGTTTGGGTTTTATTTTCTGGGCATTTTTGGAGGCCATTGGAAGGTTCTGAGAGCGCTGTCACCAACTTATTTATGCATAAGGAATGGCCAACACTAAAACATCAGTGAGGGGTGGGAGAGTATGGAGCAAGGCATACTAATAAGGAGACTAATGCAATGGTCCTTGCAAGAGTTAATAAGTGGATAATTACAGATGTAAACTCATCATTTTCATGGGGATTTGTTGCATAGAAAGATCTACACGGTTGTTGAAAAAAAAATTTATCTCCCACCTCCTCCCATCCCACAGGAAAAAGAAAAAAGAAAAAGCTTGGCAACAATATGCAGTTAAATTGCCGTTCTCAGAGAATGAGATTATCCCTTTTTCCCCTCTCCCTTCTTATTTTCTTTCATTTCCCTTATTTTACTAATAGCAATTTGTTTCAACGACAGGTTACAATTCTTTATATCATCAAGTAGGTGACAGAAAACAACGTTTACGAGATGGGGGATGTAGCTCAGTGGTAGAGCGCATGCTTTGCATGTATGAGGCCCCGGGTTCGATCCCCGGCATCTCCAAGGAGGCTTTTTTTTTCCTTTCTTCTCCAATTTCAAAGTGAGAAAACCATCCAAAGAAATAAGAGAAAGAAACGCACGCAGTGCGTGAACAATGCGGGGACGCAGACAGCGAACACTGACGTTACAGCTCATTGCTTTCTGCTGCTCCCTGGCCTCTTCGCTGTTGCATCTTCAATGCCACAACCACCAGTAGAGAGCCCTTCCCACATCTGCCGGGGAACTCACGTGAGCAGAGAGCATTTCCGCGAAGCCCCGCCCCCGAATTTAACCTTTCACTATGCATGTGGTTTCGGAACCCCACCCCTCCTCACCGAGCTCCTGCGCGTGCGTGCTCGGCTTTGGACGAACTTCGTTGAACGCGGAGCCGCGTCCGGCCAGGTTTACGGTCTGTTCCCTGCCTGGAACGTGCTGCCCTCCAGGAGACCTCAGGCGGCGCCCGCTGGTTGCCTTGACTTGATGTGACTTGGTTTTGCGCGCTCCCCTCGAAACGAGAGGATTAGTGGAGACCGTCAGAGAGGGAGGAGAAAAATAGAAGGGAAACACCAGGGCCAAGAGGGCGGCAAGGCGAGAATGGGGAATTATTTAGCATTGCTGTTAAAGAAGGGGTGCTGGCAGGATAGGGAGGGAGGCCGCTTCACGGCCTGCGTGGAGTCCAGCTCCAGAAAAGGGGCGTTTTCCCTGCTGGTGCTTTTCTTATAGGAGAAAGGGGGGAAAGCCGTCGAGCGTTTGGGGACAACTTGATACTTTTTGAAAAAAGGAATTAGCAATATGTATTGTCAGTTGCCCGGCTAGCTCAGTCGGTAGAGCATGAGACTCTTAATCTCAGGGTCGTGGGTTCGAGCCCCACGTTGGGCGCGCCGTACTTTTTTTCCTACACCTACAGTTTATAGAGAAAAGTGCCCCTTAAACTTCACTACAGGCACAGGTGAAAAATACGTTCACCCAAGGTTCTTTAAACTTTGAGGCTGTCTGTGGGTTGAGGCCAAACCCCTTTCCCCCACGCCCTAGTTAAACCATAATTTGCGAAGAGTTGGACTGGCTGCCCTGGGTCGGGTATGGCTCCTTTTCAGATAACGGAAGCTTGGTAAGTATTTAAGTGACTTGCATAGCGACACACACTGTGTCCCTCATGCAAAGGTGTCAAAAGCTAGTTTATCAACAAGCTTGGGCCAGTGCCATCTTCCTCCCATTATTAATAGTTGTGGGAAGGGTGCTCACAGCTGGTTTCCGTAGTGTAGTGGTTATCACGTTCGCCTCACACGCGAAAGGTCCCCGGTTCGAAACCGGGCGGAAACAGCGGCCTCTGTGCTTTTCCCCTCCCCTTAGTCTCAATACGAAGTCCTTGTTTGCTTTTCTCCCCCTCCCCGGGGATACTAAACCTAATGCTTAAATTGCTGGTATAAGCGATTCTAATCCAATTGATACCAAAGTCGGATTTTGCCATTTTATGCGTTATTATATATGTATTCTTCAGTATCTTATACGGTAATTATATCATCATTTTATATTACATATACTTTTATATTTTGTGTATTTAAATTTTCTAGCCCTTCCACAATTTATCTGGGTCTGCTCATTCCGGAGGAAACCTCATTTCAGAATCGTTATGTGTTGTCTCTACACAGCCCACTGTTTTCAACTTACTGAACCTTGAAGTGACAATTATTTTCTCCAGGATTTCTGTAAAAACATAAAACATTTCTGAATTATCATGAAAAAGGCCAAGATTTTGAATTGAATTATATCACCATTTATATAATGATATTACATTATTTCCCTCTCTCCCTGTCTACTCAAGGGGGCCTGTTCTCCTTTGTGAACTCCGATATTCTTCTCTATATTTACATAGTTCTTTAAAAGCAACTGCTTGGAAACTTAAAAGGTTTCAGCCTTTGTTCTCTCTCCCCTCCATTCTCTTCTTGTTGACTGCTGAGTACTGTAATTTGGTTGTTGAGTACTGTAAGTTTGTTTTACCTTAACCTTTATCCCTCAAAAAGAAACAGTGCCTTCGCTAATAATTTTTGTCTGAGACAAATAGTGTAAAGGAAGATATCAATTGGGGCAGGTCATTTAGGGTGCAACCCAGAAGTTAGGTGGCATACCCTGGAAAACCTAGAGATTTCTATGCTACTAAAGAAATGAGGATGAAGAATGCGGCCACCAGAAGGAAAGAAATCTGATGTATATAAACTGGCAGCATTGCTAAGGGAAGTTGAGTTAGTTCACCTGGAGTACACACTGAGGGTAGGATGAACACATCAGAATAGAACTGTTAGCACCCTCTAAATTTCACTGCCCTGAATTAACATCACCTGAAACAAAGGTTCTGGATACCATTTCTAGCTCTGTCCAGATGCTTACTGTGTGACTTTTGGCAAGTCATTTCATTTCTCTTGGCCTCAGTTCTTCATCTTGGAAAAAAAAAGGGAGCAACCACATGACCTCTAAGGTCTCTTTTAATTCTAAATCTCTGATCCTAATGGCCAAGTGAAATGAAAACAATCAGTCAAATCAGCATGTAAGCTACTAATTGCCTGGTACAAATAGACACAAACTAGCCCCTGTTCTCAAGGAGCTCAGAGGGAGAAACATGCTAACCACCACATAAAAATTGTGTGTATGTTTGTCATGCATGTACATGAATGTATGCAGGATAAATTGGAAATAGTCAAGAAAGTGAATTAAAATTGCATGAACATTTTGCAAAAGCAAAATTGCAAGGACTTATTATATAATATGCAAACAATTTCTTGTTATATAGGTATGAATTCTTTTCTGCCTTGGGCCACTGGGTCTGCCTGCCCCAGGAACATTTTTTTCCACTCCTTTGTGGCTTCCTTATTTATCTTAGTCTAGCAGTGTTTGAGGATAAGAGTTGTTTTGGCCAAGGACAACTCCCCACTTTGTCTCTCTGTGGAAGGCCCGTAACATCACTCTTTCCCAATTAATTACCACCTATCATTCCACCTCTAGGTAAGAAAAATGATTGTTTCTTCTATAAATAACTAATTATTGAAATCAGGACTGAGGTTTCTCCCTTTTCTACTTCCTCATGCAGAAATCAACTGATATGGGAAATCTTTCTCAAAGACTATTTCTGCTCATTGTGTTTACTCAGACAGGTCTGGGCAAATGTGGATTCTCCTTTTTGTCAGACAGGTGATATGGAAATTGACAAGTCTCTTTCACCAAGATTTGGGTGATCCAAGTCAAGACCTCAAGACCTTCATTAGAATGAGTTTCTCTTTATAATATTCATTCTCTGCCTAATTGTTAACCCTCACAGTTGACTGCCATCCTAAGGTACACCTGCTCTTCTGAGGGCATATAAACTGTGAGTCCATCAACATGAGGGGTCTTTGGCATGAGTGTCACTGTCCTTTTCTATTAAAATGTTAGCATTATTAATAAAAATAACCACCCAGAAAGTATTTCCATCCAACCTTTTAAACTTAACATAGGAAAGAAGGGATTCTTTAAACTCGGGAAGAGGGACAAAGGAAAGGAGAACTGTCTAAAGCCACTGCCTTTGATAAGGTTTACTGTTTAGCCCATTTACTAAATCTCCCACCCAGAAAATTGCCACCACTGGCTCATCCTATGTCCAGAATAGCATAGGGATTCATTTTTTTTTCTCTGCTTCTAGAGAGCTATAATTTTTTATGTTCCAATAAAATATCTTTTGTTTCCCCTGGAACTCCCAAATGAGAGCTCCAGCGATTAGAATGCGAACCTCTAAGTACCTGGGCTCCCCCTCCATCTATTCTACCTTTCAGCCTTGGTGACAGGGTGTCCCAAAAGTCTTTGTACT